TTAAAAAAATAATTATTAGTTAAATAAACGAGATATTTGACAGCAGAATATATTCTATTTGACCTGGACGATTATTTTTTCACCTCGATGCCAAACCCACCCAAAACCAAAAAGGCAAAACAAAAGCTATGATGTCATAAAACCGTGTGTTTGGCTGGGTGTGGCCAATTGTAGGCAAAAAGCCGAGTGGGGTATTCATTGCGTTTCTGACTTCCGTGTTGACGCGTCAGTCACACGTACGTTCCTCTGCTACTCTTTCCTCCGTGTCCTTTTCGCCAATCATTTAAGATGAGCAATGCTAGAGGCACTCGCCTCCTGCACTCTCCATTTAACACTTTCTCTTTTATTGGGCCACGTTATCTTGGTTTCGAGAGGTTGCGCTGAAAGCTTTAAAGAAGCTTACGTGGCCCAATAAATGGGGAAGTGTTGGCTGGAGAGTGCAGAAAGCGAGTGCCCCTAGTACTGCTCTGTTAAGATAATTAAACCTCTCTTTCCTCCATTACCTATTTTCAAAGAAAAAAAAAAAATTAAACCTCTCTTTCCCATCACCCACGCGTTGCCCGGATGAGTAAAACCATCCGGGCAGCGCGTGGTAAAAAAAACGGGTATATAATGTGAAATCAGACCTGTAAGATTTAATTTAATAATACTAAGTTTAAGTTATAGTGTAAATTTATTTATTTATTTATTATTATTATTATTATTTTATGATTGATTATGCAACGAGAACTAATCATTTTCTATTTCTTATCTCGTTTCACTTGCATGTCATGATTTTTTGAATTATTATGATCTTTTACTTCCAATGAAAAGAAATTATTTTTGAATTACTTAATTATTAACAAATTAAAAATATATAAAATATTTTTATACATTTAATATTTATTTTAATTAATTTTTTATACATTTTTAATACATTAAAAAATATAAAAATAAAAAATAAAGTATTGAGAAATGTTATTAAAGAAAGCCTAAATCTAATGCTTCACAAAAGGAAACTATTTTTATGTAAAAAAAAGGGGGAAATTATTTTTAAGATAATACCATAATAGCGGTAGGGTTATCTTGGCACGTTAACTTGGTAAAGTTATATTATATTATTTTATAAAATATTAATTTTATTTAATGTGACTTAAGAATAGTTGAGAATTAATATTACAATTAATATTTATTATTTAATAAATTAAAATTAATTTATAAGTTGATATTTTTAAATATCATATCAATTGTTTAAAAAAACTATAAATCAATAAAATATCAATCAAAGAAAATAAAATTTATGTGGCTATAACCACACTCCATGTATAATACACAGTATTTTATTGAATTTAATGTTTGGCTTATTAACTAGATTATTCTAGTGTCATTTTCATCTAAATTTAAATCAAATTTGTTAGATTCATTAGTAAATAAATATTGAAAATAGTGTCTATCCATTTTATTTCTTAAATATTAAGAGAAAAATTATCTCAAAATTATATCGTTTCAATAAATCTCCATTAAAAAAACTTAAATTATTTTTTTTTTAAACCTTAATTTGGGTTTTTTTTTGTCTTTCCTTATAGTACTTTATTAAAACTACATAGTTTTAAAATAATTTTCTTCATAATTTTTAAGAGTTAAGGTGGATAAGTACCAATCTCATACATATTACTTTAAATTTTATAATTCAAATCTCATATTTAAGTCTGCACCAACACTTAACAAAATTAATTTTCTTAAATGTTTTAAGTTATTAATGTTCTTAAATGTATTAAATTAAGAGATAGATGTACCATTAGGATCACTCAGGAAAATATTAATCTCGAATTACGTAAAAATTAATATGAGGGCACTCTTACAATTCAAACAAAAAATTTGATTTAGAAATTTATTTTCTATAAATTAATCTAAAATATTTATAGTTAGTTTAGCTAGAGAGGAAAGAAAAAAAAAAAAGTAAAGAGAGAAAATTTTCCTTATTTAAACAATAAAAAATTAGAGGGAAGGGAGGAATTTTCCCTTATTTTTGCTATAATTTCTTTTATACTTTAGTGTAACCAAACGAACGAATGGAAGTACAGGGCCAGGGAAATAAAAATACTATCCTTCTATTTTCCTTCTTATGTTTCACTTAAATATAATAGGTGTCTGGGCATATTTAGAGGTGAAAGGAGGAAAAATACTATGTTGTTATGGTGAATTAATTAAAATGAATATAGCATGCGAAAGTAAAAAGTGCTCTTTGTCTTATAATAAAAATAAGAGATATTTGAGTATGAGAAAATAAGAATACCGTAAAGAAAAGTAAGAAAATGAGATAAGAAAGTAGAAAATATGGCGAATAAGAATGCTTAGAAATATGCTTCTTATTCTTCTATTTTACTATATCTTCTTCATGCAATGCAAGCCCACATCTAAGCAAGGGAAAATGGGAGTTACATTGATCATTCAATAGTACTAAGTGGGATTATGAATAGCACCTAAATGGAGTTTTGAATGTTACTTAAGTAGAGCCATGAATGTAAGCAAAGCGAAGTTTGAATGGAGCTAAATGAAATATAGAAGATGAAAGGTGGATGGTAGAAGGTGAAACATCCATTCATTTATATATTTCTTTTTTTTTTTCTTTTTTTGGTACTAACTTTGAATTTTGACTAATCTAGAGTTCAGTAGAGTTTGATTGTATAAGGATAAAAACTCTCTTAATACTTATTTTTCCATTTATAATATTCAAATTTGAGACTTACTTAAAAGGAATTGAGTTCTTTCTACTTTGGTAAGTTAATGGTAAATTTTATATGGTTTATAAATACTGTCTATTTTGAGCTCCTACTTTTTAAATAAATGTGGTTTGATTTATTTATCTTTTTTAAAAAATTTTTACTAACACATTAAATATTAGTATTTTAATATTTTCTAATTTTAAACAGATAAAAATTAAATAATTTTTCTAACATGTGGCTTAAAAGTGTATTTAATGCATCTTTTCACTATTAATTTATATAAAAAATTATAAAATTTTTTTTTTCAACACCAATGACACATAAAATATTTTAATTGGACATTTAATTTTATCAATTGAAAAATAATACAAAAAATGTATCTAACATGTCCTCTAAAGATATGGGTTAGGAATTTCCAAAATTAAAATGAGTTAGAGTTTTTTTTGTTTAATTATAAGTAGAGTGAAAATCAAAATAAAAGTTATAATTAATGTAAGAGAAAGTAAAACACCCTTAATGAATTTTGTGTGTGTTGATTCATTAAATATTAGGAATTTTTATAAAAGTGTTTAAATACCCTTAATAAATTTTGTTTATATATTGATTTGTTGAGGATATTTTAATTTTTTGTTATTCTTGACATTTTTAATTGTTAAGAACTTTTGATTTATAAGAGCTTTCATAATTTTCATACAAATTAATTAAAAAATAATACAATAATGCATCTAACATGTTAAAGAAACAAGTTAGAAATGTCCAAAATTAAAATGAGTTAGAGTTTTTTTTTTTTGTTTAATTATAAGTAGAGTGAAAATCAAAATAAAAGTTATAATTAATGTAAGAGAAAGTAAAACACCCTTAATGAATTTTGTGTGTGTTGATTCATTAAATATTAGGAATTTTTATAAAATTATTTAAATATTTTTAATAAATTTTTTGTATGTGCTGATTTATTAAAAATATCTTAATTATTATATTATCATTCTTAACATTTTAATTACTAAAAACTTTTAATTTTTCTCATTCCCTTGTTGTAATAAATAAAATTTTTTGGTAATTCTAAATAAGTAAAATAAAATAACTATATTAAACCTAAATAATAATTAATAATGTAATTTAATAATAAAAGCAATTATATTCTTAACCACAAATATAAAATTTAATCCTTAATCACTAAGCATATAAAAAAATTCAGACCGGAAGGGAATTACGCAAAGGAATATTTCTCAACATATCGACTAAAATCAACATTTAACCTTTGACCTTATAAAATTGATAGGTTTTAGCTCTTTATCTGATAATATGACACTTTAAACCTTTTACCTTACAAAATTGGTAGGTTTTAACCTCTCACCTTACAAAATTGATAGGTTTTAACTTCTTATCTTATATTATGATATTTTTAGCCTCTCACCCATACAAATTGAAGAAAATAACCCTCACTTAATATCAGATTATAACATTATATTAGTTTTGTTAGTTAATTGTTAATATCCGTTAGCATTTCATTATAGAAAAATATGAAATTTAAATTCAACTTTATATGTTAATTCCATTAACGGAATGCCAACAGATGCTAACAATTAGCTAACAAAATAAATTGTCAACTAACAGAATTGACAGTTAACTAATAAAACTAACAAAATATTCTAACCTGATATTAAGTGAGAGTTAGTTTCTTCAAATCGTATAGATAAGGGGCTAAAAGTGTCATAATATAAGATTAGAGATTAAAAACTATCAATTTTGTAAGGTCAGGGGCTAAAGCTTTACAACATGTAACGTAAAAGGTTAAAAGTGTTATATTATAAGGTTAGCGGCTAAAACTTACTAATTTTGTAAGGTGAGGGGCTCAAAGTTGGTTTTAGCCCAACATATCGTTGTGAATGTACGCGCGTGCGTTCGCGTCGACTCTTAAGACAAATGATTCTACTCTGTTTCCTTCTTATCCTCAAAATATTAAAGGCAGAGAGAGCAACCATCTTCCTTATTGTATCTGCCCGTTGAGATCTTATCTGTAAACACTATCTAATTTTAAAGAGCGAAGGAGAGGATAGACGATTTCGCATATTTCTCCTAAAATTTCTGTTCCTCTTTCTTGTTTCTTTGTTTCAGTTACCATGCGAGGGGTATCCTTCTTTTTCAAAAATTTTACAAATCTCATCTCCTTCCTTTCTCCTTTCCTTAAAAAAATCCCAATTAAAATCTTACCTATGCAAATAGAGAACATGG